CCAGTGCTAGAGAAGCGACCACTCTATGAGAGTAGATGTGATGTCATATAGAATCATATGGACTCACCAGAGGTTGAGTTATTGGAGCTACATGGCCAGAAAAAGCATGAACATTTCCACTAACATGCTCAATACATCATGTAGTACCTTGATAGAATGCATAGACTGGCACCGAGTATGGAGAAGGATCCCACACTAGAGCATGCCTAGTGTGGTTACCATAACAAAAAAAAAAATTAATTTTCTTTCTTTTATATTTCTTTTTTACACTATATTTATCTGTGGGATTTGACATGTCAGTCGATATATGTTTAAGATTCCAGATTTCTTTAACATTATTATGTGTCAAATAAAGTGGTGAGGCAATTGTGGCTTGAATATCGAGCGCTCCTACTAGGAATGGATATGATTTTCCCATTTGGATCCCGTATTGTAGAGCCCAATGGGTGGATCTCATACTTTATCTTCTCCTATGTCTTATGATTCTTCCGCTCTTTAAGTGCCAAGATGGATAGTTTGTGTAATTATGTGAGTAACTTTATTATAGGGAAGAACTTGGTCAAGTCCTAATTGATTGAGGGGAGTGTCATATTTATATTTAAGGTATTCTACTTTTCTCATGAGTATTTTCTCATTAGAGTGGAAACTGATGATTAGAGGCTCAACTTTTTGTTGGACATAAACTAGTGGTTCCCATTGATCATCTTGAGCTGTGGATGACATTCCCCTTGTGCATAAAGATTGAGGAGGCTTTAAACTTTTACAGGGCAGTTCTAGCTTATATGTTGCCAAATTTGATGACAACAATAGTTTCATTTGATTTTTTTATCGTGGGAGTGACACTTTCCATGTTTATTGAAAATCTTCATACACATTTTTTATGGGAAAGGCCTCACTGATTTCTTTTTTTCAAATTTTGACATTTTGCAGCCAAGATATGTGGCCTGGAGAATAAGGTATGAGGTTGAAAAGCAAAGTTTATAGATATCAGATACACTTCTGTGTGGAGGGTGAAAACCACTACTATCCCATTATAGAAGGAATAATTGGTTGTTCTGGAATTAATCATTAAAGAGGAGGCAGTGTTAGCTTAGGTGAAGAACAGGCCGTTAGTGGTTCTTCACCATGTGGCTTATCAAATTTTTTCACATACTTCTATAGTGAGTGACTTGCCCATCTTAAAAAATTGAGTTTGTTTTGATTTCTTTTGGGATTCTTTGTGGAGAAATTTACAGTTATGTATTTCTAATGCGTTTTGCTACATTATCTAGTGCAATAGAGGAAAATACAAGACTGAAAGAGAGATTATTTTTGGTCACTAAGAGGACTCATTAAGAAGTCCATTCCAAGAGGCAGATGAAAGCTAGAGTTGGCCTGAGTTCCAAGACATAGGTAGTAAAGAGATCATAAATGTCTGAGGTGTGGACTGGTCCCACTTTGCTCGTAAAGGGTAGGAGAATATTTGACCCTCCAAGGAGGAGGTGCTGATTATTGACTCACTTATATAGAAGAGCGATTCCATTGCTATGGTGGTGGCTCTTGGAGGAGATTTAGATGAAGGTAGCAAAGCCCTTGAGGGTTCCAAAAGCTAATTATCATTTAGTTAAAAAGAGGAGTAGAGTGTTTAGTCTGAGTCGAGTTAGTTTTTGATAATGGTCACATCATCCATAATTTTATGTTAGAGTGACACATTTTAGAAATGCATGCGTATAATTAGGTATATTCTTCCATGAACTCACTAGTGAATGATTGGAAGAAGGTTCATCATCTAGGCTATCAGCTTTTAGGGTTGAGTGTTAAGTTGGGGTGAGTACAGGAAATAAGGAGGCACACAAAATTTTATTTCTCTAAGGAGAGGTAGTTCCAGTATGAGATGATGGCCAAGATAAAAGATCTAGTTCGAGACTGATAAGATGTGAGAACGACATCTATTTAAATTGTAGCTGGCTAGGATTGAAGCTGCATCAATTGTGGAGGCCAAGGATCAAGAATAGTTAACTGTAGCTGATCATGTATTATTTGTTGAGTGCAAGGAGCTTGCTGAGGCTGTGGTAGTTGATTTAACTATAAGAATAAATGAGGTTCCTTGAGCCATTAATAAAAAAAACTTGAGCACTTATTAGGTGATAGTTACCTTGATGGAATTAATGATTGTATTAAGATGCTAATGGTAAAGGGTGTGCTTAGTTCAAGGTTTAGCTATATGTTCTGCTTCTATTAGAAGTTTATTATGAATGATAGTGAGGAAGGAAATGATGGTGCAAGTGAAATCAATAAGTATGTTGCATCAACCTTTTGTGATAGCAATTTTTATGTAAATGAAAGGAAGATTCTTTCTTTTTAATGTTTATATGTACCAAGTTTTGCTTCTTTCTTCCTTTTTTTTTTTTTCATTTTCTTTCGCATACCCTGGCGAAGATGTTGGTTAGTTTCTATGCACTAAGTGTATACCTTGGCCTTGTGAGACTTTAGCCATCCTATTAGTGAATGCGACCACTATTGGTTATGTGGATTCATTGGCAAAGGGCTTATGTTTCGCACCAGGTTATGATCCTACTAAAAATGTGACCCTGAGATCCCATCAACATTACGAATGTACCCTCCCTCATTCGTGGAGTTTGTCATTTAGAAGGAAAGGGGGTTACCTTCCTAAGGCGTTATCAGCCATCTTTTGAGGTACTTATCCTCATAGAGAGGAGCCATGCATAACTTATACAGAGCTTGCCTCCAGAGTGGAGTCATGTCCCATTGTGGCATAAAGCTTGTAGTCACCTACAGTGCTGGGGCACGTAAGATTTATTTCCTATTGGGGACTTACATGAAACTCAATGTGAAGCTTATCATAAAGGAGGGAGTCAGCCAATAGCGGCTAAGGCATTTATCATGAATGATGTTGTTGGTGTATATAGTTACCTAAAGTGTCAAAACATGTAAGGCTTTTCACTTATTGAGTACTCACATACTCCTCAATACGGAGCTCATTGTAAAGGGGGAGCTAGCTAATAGTGACTGAGACATTATTTATTATACTACCATAATTAATATGACCTAGTTCTTTAGTAGAGTGGCATATATCCTATTTATATAATATATATATATATATATATATATATATATATATATATATTAAGGCATAATAATTTGGATAATAAATTTTTTATTAAATTTTATAACTTTTATATCTAAAAATATATGTAAAAAATTCATGAAATTATAGGGGCATGTGATTTATTAGGTTGATCATTTTGCGACCAATTTTTATTTTGGTCGCTAAAGGGAAAATGTAATAAATAAAATTAATTATTAAAATTACTAAATAGCATCCAAATAAATATTCATTAGCGTCCAAAAAAATGGTCGCTAATATGTCCAATTTTAGTGACCAATACTAATTAGTGGTCGCTAATTTAGCAACCTAAAAAATTTTTTGGTCGCTAAAAGCCTCAGCGACGAGGCTACTGCGACAAATCAGCGACCCAAATATTTTTGGTCGCTATTTGCTTTAGCGTCCAAATTAACATTTTTAGTGACCAATTTTGTTGGTCGCTAATTACCTACTTTCTTGTAGTGTTAGGCCCTATGAACTAGTCCTAAGGCTAACAAAGAGGGAGGGTGAATTGGTATTTTTTAAAAATTCCTTAAAACCAATAACAAATATCACAAACCAAAGTCACCACAGAAAAACAAGTGCGAAAAATTAAAGTGCGGAAGCAGTAAAAAGAATAACAAGGGTTTATAATGGTTGCGGTCAACTTGACCTACGTCCACTCCCCGGAGGTGCCTCCGAGTATTGCACTATCAACGTGACTCTCCTTTAGCCCCCACAAGCTAGGCGGAGAAGCCCTTACAAAACACATCCTTTTTGCCACCCCCGGCAAGGCAGAGAACACAACTCCTTTTGCTTCCTCCTGAAGCAGGCAGAGAACCTCGATCGATCGTTGAAGCTACATCTCCAACCCTTTTCCAAGGACAAGAAACTCTAGAGAAGAAGAAGTGGAATAATGCTTGGAGCAACCCTTGTGAACTCCCTCACAAGCTCTCCTCACAAGATCCTCTCTCTCTCCTTTAGGTTTTCTCAGGTCAAGACAGCAGCCAAAAGATGTTCAAACGTTGAACAAGAGCTCTTAAATAGAAGAGCTTCAAAGGAGCTCAATAGTTGCATGTTGCCGACTTTATCGTCCAGAGATGAATAATATATCGTCCTGCACGATAAGTTCAAAACACAGACAATCGACCACAACATCGCCCTGAAGATGATCTGGATGATTGAAAATTGGCTTGATCGTCCAGGCCGATCTCACGATCGTCCGGACGATTAGTTCAAATCAGAGGAAAATCGTCAAGAGCATTCGCCCTGAATTCGAGCTGTATGATCCTGATCGTCAGGAGCAACTAAGGATTTTGAATATATCGTCCTGGCCGATCCTGTGATCGTCCAGGACGATGTGATCGTATCAACATCATTCTTAATTGCTTCTTTAATTGCCGGATCAATTAGGCAT